CCTAAAATATATTTTGTCAGAATACAGAATGTTTCAAATGCACACATAACATCACAGTAACATTACTGCCCTCTAGTGTTGGTTCTGGTCACCAGTCTGTGCTCTTCAGTGACTCAGCACTACTCCCTGTGAGTCTGACAGGCCCGTCGTGCTGTGTCTGTGTTTCCTCAGGTGTAATGTGTGCGGGAAGGAGTTTTTTGAGAAGGCTTTGTTCAGGCGACACGTGAAGAAGGCCACGCACGGTAAGAAGGGCCGAGTGAAGCAGAACCTGGAGAGGCAGTGTGAACACTGTGGCAGGAAGTTCACTCAGCTCCGAGAGTACCGACGCCACGTCAACAACCACCAGGGTGAGCCTGCTGTCAACACTCTGGGTCTTCTTTCCATCTTTCCACATCTTGTAGAATTTATTGATGACGTGAAGACTCCGTAAAGTCAACATTTATTTGTGTAATAAAACGTAAACCTTTTCCAGCTCTAAACATGGTTATTGAGGAGTGGTTTCTTTATTTTAGGGGTGAAGCCTTTTGAATGTCTGACCTGCGGCGTCGCCTGGGCTGACGCTCGCTCCCTCAAACGCCACGTCCGAACTCACACGGGCGAGCGGCCGTACGTGTGCCCCTTGTGCCAGGAAGCCCACATCGATGCTCGGACACTACGCAAGCACATGGCTAAATACCACGCAGAGAACCTGCCCGGCAAGATCATGCTGGAGAAGGACACCCTGCAGTTTCACAACCAGGGCACCCAGGTGGAGCACGCCGTCAGCATCCTGGCGTCTGACCTGCCCCCCGAGCTCAGGCCCGCCCAGCAGACGGCCACGGAGGAGCTGGAGACGGTGCTGATCACGGAGGAGACGGTGGAGGCGGTGGAAGCCGTCCAGGCAGTGAGCGACAGCTCGGCGACGACGCTGTCGAATCAGAGCATCATGCAGGTCGTGAACTACGTTCTGGCCCAGCAGGCCCTTACTGGGGGGAAGAACGAGGACACGCCTGAGGTGGTGGAGGTAGAGGTGGAGGTGGCTCATGTGGACGAGGTACCTGAGGTCGAGTAATACTGAGCCCGAGACAGATTACAGCCGACTCGGTCTGTATAAATGTGAACACGTTTCGCATGAAACACAAATGCATATTTTCCTAAAATGTACATAAACGTGTTTTCAGCTGATATGTTGATGTTCCCACATTTTTATTTTCTGTAAATAAACTGAAGCAAAAAGGCTTGATTAATATTAATGTGTATAAAATGTGGCACTCAGGAACAATAAAGATAAAAGACTCATGCTTTGGCTAAATTCATTTTAGAAGCTTTTCTTCCAGTGAAGTCATTAGTTTTGTTACAGATTCAAAGGTTTTTTATTGTCATACCAGCTCATATTTGCATATTTATGGTATGAAATTTTCCTCAGGTCCCAGATCAAGAAGCCTAACAATTAACAACTAAATAAAAACATAAATAAATA